CCAAGTGGTTGCAACTCGCGCTCGCCTGGAAAGTTTCCAAAGGCCTGAAGTCGGAATTAATGATCCAACTGTTCTGGTTAAGAAAGAAGCCAGAAGAAACAATTTCTGCCGCCTCTCTCCGGGCAGGGAGGGCTCTCACACACACACACACCCACACGAGGGCTCGGACACGAGAGCTGTGACCGGCCCCGTGCCAGGAGGTGCCCGCTGTGCCCCCCGGGCGGGTGTGTGCCCCCATGCCCGGAGCCCCCCTGCTCTTACCTCCCGGCCTTTGTTATGATCATCTCCGTGCCCACTTCGTGGAACTTCAGCCACAGCTCGCGTTCGTGCAAAAACACCTTGATGCCCTCCATGCCCTGCGGAGCGGGGAGGCACAGTCAGCCCCGAGAGCCGCGGGGACAGCCCCAGGGGAGCGGGGACAGCCCCGAGAGGAGAGGGGACATCCCCGAGGGGTGTGGGGACATCCCCGAGAGGAGAGGGGACATCCCCGAGGGGTGTGGGGACATCCCCGAGAGGAGCGGGGACGTCCCCAGGGGGAGCGGGGACATCCCCAGGGGTTGCAGGGACATCCCCTGGTGTTGCGGAGACATCCCCAGGGGATGCGGGGACAGCCCCGAGGGGAACGGGGACATCCCCAGAGGTTGCAGGACAGCCCCAGGGGGAGCGGGACAGCCCCAGGGGGAGCGGGGACATCCCCAGGGGGTGCGGGGACAGCCCCGAGGGGAACGGGGACATCCCCAGAGGTTGCAGGACATCCCCAGGGGGAGCGGGACATCCCCAGGGGTTCCGGGGACGTCCCCAGGGGGTGCGGGGACAGCCCCAGGGGGTGCGGGGACAGCCCCACCGGGGCGGCCGGCCCCGCACGGCCCCGCGGGGAGCTGGCCGGGGCAGGGCCGGGCTCTGCGGGCCGGAGCTCGGGGCAGGGCCGGGATAACCCTGCCTCCGGGCCGGAGCGCGGCGATGCGGCTCAGGGCAGGCCCGGAGCGGGGCCCTGCGGGCCGCGGGGCTCCCGGGGCGGGGGCGGTGAGACAGAGCCCCCGGAGCCGGCTCCAAGCGCATCCTCCCGGAGAAATCCCCCGGCACCCCGGCCCAGCAGCTCCCAGAGCCAAGCGGAGGAGATGTACACGGTCCCACGAGTGATTTACACCCCCGGCTGCGCTCTGCAGGCTGGAGCGGCGTGGGGTGTCACCCTACCTCCCTCGCCCCCGGATTTTGGCTTTGCCACCCGAGAACTGCGAGCCCTGCGGTTGGGGCAGATGCCACCGCGGGGACAGAGCATCCCTCCAGCCGCAGGGCACCCCCGGCCAAGCCAAGCGCTTCTCCCCTCGCTAAAAAAGCCCGGCCAGACTTCGGGGGTCGCTTTCCAAACACCCCCGGTGCCCTCCGAGCCTTCTGCCGCACCCCGTGGGCAGCGGGGTCCATCGGGGGGACCTGCCAGGGAATAAGGGGGAACCCCCCAGTAGGACGGCGGCGGAAAATCTCCTTTTCCCGCATTTCTCCCCTCCGCTCGCAGGGCTGCCCGAGCCGCCGGGGCCGCTGCCAGCACCGGGAGCTCCCAGCGCGGGGAGAAGCCGAGGGACGGCTCGGAGCACGGAGATCCCGCACGGAACCCACGCGTGTCCCGGCACACGCAGCGCCGGGAGGAGCGAGGGCTGAGGGAGGGGTGAGCGACACCCCAAATGTCGCTCTGGGGGTGCCCACGCGTGACCAGCCTGCGCTGAGTGCCCGCTGGGGCTGCGGGGTGCAGCTGTGCCCGCCTGGGTGCCCAAGGCGTGCGCAGAATGCACCAAATATATACATTTATATATCTATATAAAGGTATCTCCGCTCTCCGGGTGCTCGCCCGTGCATTTGCCCACTCAGGCGCGGACACTCGTGGGTGTAGGGGTGCCACTGCAGGGCGGCTTCCCCTCGCTGTTATTTGGGCTCCTGCTCCCCCAAAACTCTCACGGGCACCTCCCCGCAGCTTTGGCGCTTGAGCGCGACCTCAAAGAGCACAAAAGCAGGACGGGGCCACGGCCAGGCGAGGCTTTGCCCTGGAAGAACCCAACCACGCAGCCGGGGCGGGGGCAAAGCGTGGGGAAAAGGGGGAAATGACCGAATGGGAGAGGGCCGGGTGGAAGGAGAGGAGCGGGGCTGCTTACCTGCTGCGTGAAGGCCGCTTGCGGCGAGGTGGGCGGCTTGCTGCTGGCCCCCAGCTGCGTGTCCTGCTTGCCTTCGGCCTGCAGCTCCTTGGCCTCCGGATCCGCCGGCGTGCTGGGCAGCCCGAAGCCTTCCTCGCTATCCGCCATGTTACGAGCTTCCTTCGCCGAATCCCCCACTGCAGGCACACATCGGGAGAGAGCAGAGATAAGAGACGCACGAGTCAATGCTGAGGTTTAATAAAATATAGCTATTTATCGAGCGCGGCGGCCCCGAGCCAACGCAGCGGCCGCGACCGTGGCAGCACTCACTTCAGCTGCCCGGGGAGGGAGCGAGGCCCTTTAACTTTGGGAGAGGGAGAAATAAAGACTTTTATTTATTATCGCAGCCCGCAAGGGATGATAGGATTGGGGTGGGGGGAGCTCGGGGGGGTGGAGAGGGAGGGGAAGGGGGAGGCGGTATTATTGAATGCATCTTTTGGAAAAGGTAAACAGCGCGTTTTTCGGGCTGCCCGGCAGCACGCGGCCAGCGAGGCACCCCCGGGGCTGCGGAACGAGCAGCTCAGGGCACAAACGACTCGGGAGAATCGGGGGATTCGAGCTGGGAGCTCCAGAGCCTCCCCCGAGCCTTGGTCACCTCCAATTCCTCCCGGCTCGCTGCGGCCCAGGGGGGTTTAAAGTCCCAACTTTCCTGCCAGGGAAGTGGAAGTTTTCATCCCGCTCCGGTTTGGAGCAGGAAAACATCACTGACACACGAGGCCACTTCTGGCACCCAATTCCCAAGGAAAATTCAACTTTTTGCACCTCTTGTAAAACAGGAAAAATTTTAAAAGCCCGTTCTTCTCTTACCCCGGGCAGTTAGAAGAAAAGCAAAGGATGGACGAGAAAATTACAATATAAAATGCAAATAAATCAATCGGACAAACGCTGTGCGAGGTAACGAGGACTCGGGCTGGTGAACGGGGGTGGAATTGGGGCTGGAATGAACTAAGCCATAACATTTAGGATAAAACTGCATCAGCAGAAAAAACGAGCTTTAAAATTACATGGTTTATATCTGATGTGAGTAACCGCAGTGAGTTTTAAAAGCGTATTTTGACTTAGCTTTAAAGGCTCTATCAGGAATGGTAAAAGTTTAATAGCAACACAA